TTGGGCGTGCCTGGGGCTCATGGCCTGCCGACTTGACATGAACCTGTGCCTTGCTGAGAGGTTGAATGAAAGGTGACAGGATATCTGTCAAAGCATCAAAATCGGGCCCGCTCCAGCATGGGAGCAGGTGCTTGGCGCTCTGCACCAGAGCCCTCTCAGTTCTCTTTTTTTTCTTCGCTTTCATTGTCAAGAGCATACCTTGTTGAAAGCAGGGTAACTGCAGGGCTTCATGCAGTTCAGCCACATCGAGCACAGGCATGACCTGGTCTCACTTGTATGAGACTTCAAACCCCGTTCGCAAAAAAATAATCCCTGCAAGAGACCCCAAACAGGTGCGTTAGAGGTCAATAGGATGTCTAGAGCGTTGGGGTCCAGAGAGCTGATGGTGGTGACGAAGGTGGTGGTGATGATGGTGGCTGGTGATGGTGGTGGATGGGGGTTTGCGAGCTGGGAAAGGTCCACAAAGTACTGCACAGGCCACGAAATTTGCACTTCAAGATCCACAAAGTGCACTTCAAGGTCCACGAAGTACTGCACCTGCAACGAAATCTGCCCTTCAAGGTCCACAAAGCACTGCACCGGCCACGATTTCTGAAAACGAGCCACATGTCCAAAAGTCACAAGTCACTACACCTGCCAGGAAATCAGCGCATGCCTAAGACCACCACCATGTCCAAAGTACTGCACCTGCCACAAAATCTGTACATCGACATCAAATTGCTCCGATCTCCTGCACCTGTCACGAAAGGTCGACTTTGGACCACCAAAACACGAGGTGTCCCTTGCGCCTGCTACGAAAAGTGATCACCAAGTCCAAAAATGCGCATAGCACCACAACGAGAGCGTACCTCCATCAAGCACCGTCCCGGGGCCAGCGTTTCGCGCGACCCTGCGCAAAGAAATTGCACTTGGAAATCTCAGAGCGGAACTTTTCTGAAAGCCTGCGCAGCGACAACGCGCGGGCCCAGAGAGCGTACCCTGATCGATCCCGGGCTTTTACACTTACCGTAAAAACCCCTCAGTGTGGACACACTGTTTGGGGAAAAACGAGAATAGGCCATGAGAAGAGTTCGGGAACGAGCTGGTGTTGCAGTGCAAAATCCCTAATTAAAAAAAGCAGCTGGTGTAAAACTTATGAAATCCATGGCTGGGCGACCAAAGAACTTTCCAAAACTTCCGTCTTCCGTGCCCCCGAATCCTCCGTCGACCGCGCCCCCGACTCCTGCATGATGTGACGCTCCAATTGCGGCACAGAGTTCCTGGGCCAGTTAGAGCCGTCCAGGACGGTTTGTGGGCGTGCCTGTACGGTACGGGTCTATCCGAGTCTACCAGGGCCCAGTGGATGATGATGGTTAGGTTGCAGGCCTTGCTCAAGACCAGCACCTCCAACAGGTCACCAATTGAAACCTGTTACATAGGGCCTAACAACCCTCCATTTCGGAGACCTGTAGAGTCGGTGCTGGTATATGGCGGTGGGTGGGACCGATTGACCGCGGATCAGTTCTGAACAGATTCCTGCATGTTCGAGAGGTCAACTGACCAGGATGATTTGGGGCTCGGTTTTGACCCACAGCCATATACATCCGAAACCTGCCAGGTCTGCTCCAGGGATGGGTCAAACTAAACACACCAGGTCGAACCAAGCAGGTGACCTGGCGCTGAGAATGCAGGTCGCAGTCCAGTGAGAATGCAGGTCCGTGGCACAACTGAAGTGTTCAGGAAACTCCTGGACTCGGGTCATCCAATTAGTCAGACCGACCATCTGAACTAATGAGCAACTGGGACATGTCAAGGGCTATCTCAAAAGTGGAATCCCAGCAGCTCCCAGTGAAATCTGGTCATCCTGAAGTCTGAACCTCGTTTTTAAAGAGTACATTTTTTACATGTTCCAGGTTACTTTGGAGGGTCACCCGGTTGATTCATGGTGTTTTCACTCCAAACACATCGGCAGGTGCGTGGACCCTGGCAGGATTTTTGGGCACAGTGCTTCGAGTCACCGGGAAGCGACCTACAGTGGTTTCAGAGCAAGCCCCGCACAATTCAAAAAGGAAACATGAACAACTGCAATCCAACAAGACGAACGGGATTGATCTTTTTCTGTGCTTTTTGGTAGTTTCGTTGTCTGTTTCTATATATATAATTTAATATATATATATATTATGGTCAATCTCCAATGTCGGCGGTTCAAAAAGACCCATCTACTTGGGTTTGCCACACCTACTCTGAAACCACTGTAACATGCAACACCAGGCGGTCGACGACACAGGTTTTTTTAGGGCCGAAGGCGAACGTCCCAACTCCGACGCATTGGACACTCTGACCATAATGGAGTGGGGGTACACGGGTACACCGACCAATAATATTCGGATACACCATATCCCATCCAACTTCTGGGGTACAGTGACCCCAACTGGGACTGCCATAGGACTGCCGAGAAAAGGCCACAAAGGTGGTGGGTGTTTGGGGGGGTCCATGGGACTGCACATCTTCTAGATATGGAGTGTCTGGGTGTCTGGGGTACACTCTGACGAACACATCACATGGTTGCGTGGATGGCATGGTCCCTTGCAAGCCTTTCAAGGCTGCAAGGAAAGCACGAACAGGGGGTGCACTCCACTTCCATGTTGGTGAGTCGGAGTGTGGATTTGGAATTGGGTCTTGGGGCCCGAAGACAGGTCGGTCGAAGCAAACAGATGACCTGGCAGGCCGGTAGTTTTTGGAAGCTATATGACGATGCTATCGTCTATAATAAGGACCCTTGAAAAACATGTGGAGAAGAAATGCAAAGCACTTCTTTTTTGAAACCGCTAAGTGCCTCGTCCCCCCAAAACTGGACCTGTTTTTTCAACCCGACGAAAAAACAAAGGGAATGCACTCTGCAACATCACTTCGCACAAAAAACGACAATCAAAAGAAAACGCATCCAAGGAGCCCCTCCTTGGTGCCCCGCATCTTGAAGAAGCTGGGAATCTTCGTCTGGGCCAAGTGGGACGGTCTGTATTTTAACGATATGCAATGTGGACGGTCGACGAAACTCGGCGTCACTGGAGCTCCAACTGGGGACACCCAAAAGACGAAGTAAATATCGATGAAATAAGAATACACATGGAGCAACAACACATGGAACACACACGTGTATAAACACATAATCAGGTGGGTCTACTTGTTGTGTCAGAAGCTACATAATACTGATCTAGAATCTAGGTGACCCGGGTCCAGGAATTTCTACTTCGGTGGTGCCAAATATGATCTTTTGACTCCTATAGGGGGTATGCAGAAGCTATACTCCAAATCTTTTATCTACCGACATCCATGTCTTCCTTCAACTGGACCCGCATGAGTTCCGCCCCCCAATTCCCCACTCCAGACACTGGACGTGCCCCTGAGGCCCCCTCTCCCCCCGGGTCCTCACCTTGGGGCAGGCTGCAGGTAGTAGGTCGCACAGCACTGGGCTGGTGAGGTGGAAGACGCTGGGCAAACACTTGCAGGGCGTCTTACTCCTCGGTCGGCGCGAACGCGGTGTTGGAGCGGTGTTGTGGGCGCGAACGCGCGGTGAGCGGCTTTGGGCGCCCAAAACACGGAAGAACACCATGCACTGCAGGCAATGATAGTTGACAAAAGGCAGATCGTCATGTTCTGTCACAACAACAGTTGCGGTGATCGGCTTCCTGGTGTGAAACCAAGGTGCACATGATTACCTTGCTCAGAGCGCTTGCATGCAAGATTTTGCCGGGTTGCTCGAGTAAGTGGGCATCCCCAGTCACAAGAGGACATATACCCTATATAGGGATCCGTTTTCGTACCTTCTCAGGTACGGTGATGTGTTGTCTCCGCTGTTATGTAGAGGGCTGGAGGGTCCAGTCGTACCGAACCTGAGAAGGTCTGTGGATCGATAGTAACTCTTCCCAAACGCTGTCCGTTGGTCCAAACCTTCGCCTAGAAAGCCCTACAACGGACAGCGTTTCTTCCACCATCGCCTGGACAGGCCCTGGCCTTCCACTTTCGGCCATTCAGATAGTAGGACCATCCTATCTAATGGGTGTCCTGGCTGGACTACCCAGCCCACTACGACCTGAGATGTCCAGCCAGGACACAGAACCTGGATGGTGGGAGGTGCTACTCCCTCCGTTCGATCCATGTTTCCTCGTGACAACAGGTGCCCAGAAACCACATGTTAAGGGGTATAGTAGGCCATCCGGAATATTTATAGGAATGAGAGTAGATGACACAGACCCCAATGTCGCTGGTTGAAATTGAACCTCCATGTGTTCCAGGACATCATGCGGTGCCAGTGCCATCGAACCTCTGAAACGACTCACTTTTTCAACGCACTTTTTCTCGCAGGCTCCGTGTCAGAGTCGTTCGGACGACGGGGCGCAACCAAGCGAAGAGGCTCAAGCGTCAAGACCCGGCTGGTCAAAGGCCGGACCGAGTCGTGCAAAACGGATCACATCACTCTTAATGGCTCGCAGTGAGTTGGTGCGAAAGAAATCGAGGATGGAGTCGCGCACATGTGGGGCGACTTTCAGGCGGAGGCAACCTGTCCATCCGATGTAGGCCGGGTTGGAAGGCCGGCCGTGGATGGACCTCCATTTTGGGTTCCAAGCTCGAATGCAACACTGACTATATGTTGCCCAACTCTTGCAGCAAGCAGGGAAATCGAACTGGCTGCTGTCTTCTTGGATTCGCCATCCTGACCGATGCCGAGAGACCCCAATCAATCCCGATTGCAACTGCCAGGCGATGTACAGCTCATGCCATGCATACAACAGAGGTGGTGCATGAGGATCCGACAACCCTTCCCAAAAGGTGATGATCCGATCAAGGCCGCGAAAGCGGAGCTTGTCAGGCGAGTGCCAACGTAGCCATCTGCTAAATGCGATGGTATCCAAGGTATCATGCTCATACTGACATCGGAGAGGTCGGGCAGGAGGTGACTGGTGAGGCGATTTGACTTGCAGTGCAGTCAAACCTACCCTGACGAAGTGAGCATGCGCGGCTTCAGTGCCTTCGCGAAGAAGGTCAACTTCTTGTCGCGCCTGACTGGATAGCTGGCGAATCCAGGCTGGCATTTGGCACAAAGCATAGCTAGCCCAACGGTCTGCCCACTCATGGCCACTCAACACAAATTGCTCCGCACAAGTATAGTTGGTGGGATCAACATGGGAGGTCACTTTTAGAAGAACCACACGATCGGAGACCTGGGCCATGAGAAGTGCGACCGTGTTCCATAAATCACAGTCAGTACTCCCCGGTCTCGGGGACCAGGCCCCATCAAGAAGCCGTGACCCCCTTTGTCCACACTTCTTCATTATCAGTCCAGAGGCGAAAACGCCCTGGAAGCTTCCGTTGCTGGACACTGCCAATGCCGGTGTTCTAAGGAGTCAGGCTGGGAACACCAGGGACAAACAGGACTGTCAAGTTCGGCTCCTTTGTGCTTGAGGATGATGAAGGATCCGTTAAGCAGCGAACGCAGCAAGCCTTTATGTTCCTTAGGAAATGTGGCGATGCTGGAAATGGCCACCCAGGGACAAACATTCTGAAGGCCTGCATAGCCCTGCCTGTGCTCCCACCGCAACCCGACGGTGGTGTGCCAGTCAAGCTGAAGCCACAACTTAAGTTCCTGCGGCGAAATGGTCGCCAGATCACACAGAGTGTTCTGCCTTGTGCGAAACGTGAAACCATGTGACCAGACCCATCCGATGACATTCAGTCGATCCAAGAGCACTCCGCAGGGCCCGGGGATGTGCTTCAAAGGCTGGTGGTCCTGGAGAACTTCAAGTACTGCTGTCTGCTGGTCAGGATCACTAAACTTGCAAAATGCCAAGGCAGTCTGCTCGAGAGCAAAATATTCCGGGTCAGTAGTGGGTTTCTCCATCAAATATTGCAACTGGGGCTGCGCCCCCTTGTTACGGAAGCGAAGGGCCTGGAACAAACCTGCGCACATTTTCTGAAAGTGCTGCGCGCCGAGTGACACCGTGGCCACACCATGGAGAGCCCTGGGCCACGCGCAGCATCTGGCAGCTCTCAGCTTCTGAGGGGCAGTAGCAGGGCTGCGGGCGAGTCTGCCCCACAAGGTGTCGAGCTGGCGACATTTGGCAGTCACCGTGTAGTTCGTCCTACGATGAGAGTACTGCATGTGACCGCCTAGATTGCGGCCATCCAAGTGCGTTGGGCACCCCGTTCCTCTGATCGCTGCTCGATGCTCAGGCAGCAGTGCCCACCCAAAGGTTTTGTCCTGGTCCAACTCCAGGTCCAACAAACTACAAATGGTTGCGAGAGTAGGTAGGCTTCGTGCAAGGTCGTCAACCGAACTGGATTCAAGCTCCCAATTGTCAACATAGGAGGAGAAGGTCACTTGTGGCCACAAAAGATGAAACCATCTATCAACAATCCAATCTATTATTGCCATGGCTACAACACTCATTCCACATCCCTCGGGGAAGCCCCTTGACCCCTGCAATCCCTCACTCAGGGCTTGGCGAATGCAGAAGTGCCGAGTATTGGTGACAAGGAAACCCATCCAGGCTCGAATGAGGCCTCCATCCAGGCCAAGAAACACCGCAGCTCGAAACACCGGCTCCCTGGGCAAGGTGTTGAAAGCCTTGGTCAGGTCTAATACGTACCCTTGAGCCGGGGCCCCATCGAACATCAGGGACTCAATCATCGCTGGATTTTTCCACCAAATGGCGATCGTAGAAGCACCCAGGCGGTTGCCCTGGAGACCGGGCGGAGCATGCCTGCTAACGAAGCTAAGGGCGTGTTTCGATTGGAGGGAGGACCAAACCCGGTATGGAAAAGGATAGATGGTGATGGGGCGGTAGTCATTGACCGAACACGCCTGCTCAGTCTTCTGCAGACTGTGAACCACCCCGTGCCGAAGTTGAATTGGCCAGAAACCAGACTGTTCGGCCGTGGAATAAATGGCCAAGAGCTGGGTCACTCCACTGTCGGGAAGGCTGAGCATGTCAATGCGACTCATGCCATCAACTCCTATACCGCACTTCGAGGCTTCCGAGACCGAACGAACGCTCGGAACATGTCGACAGTAATCACAAGGCGGCTTGACGGGAGAGGACTAAAGAGTCTGGAAATGACTGCGTCTACTCGATCCCAAAAATCAGGGGGCACCTCATCATGCTTATTCCAACGTTTGGCCCACGCGGACTCAAATTCACTATGCAACGTCTGCAAGGAACCCAGAAAGCCGTGCTGGTAAACCACCCCTCCGACTTCCGGCAGAGGTCCAGAGACCCAAGCTTGGCCATCCTCACATTCTACCAGACTGCAGTGCCCTTGGGCGTGAGACAACTGCATTTGGGCGTCAAAGGCACATCGAGGTTCAAAACAAAACGAGTCTTCGGCCTCTATGGACGTGACTTTAGCTTCCCGGCACTGTGCCAAAGAAGAGATGGGTTCAGGTCCCGGCGCTCGAATGTCACGAAAGACCCGGTTGGCATCAGTCTGTCGCCTTTTCTGCGCGGCTGCCCTTCTGGAAGCTATGAGGTCCTGTTCCAGCCTGCACACAAAGCTTTCGAAGTCACTGGCCAATTGCTTGGCAATTGCCTGAGGAGGGATATGCTGTGGGAATTGGCAGTGTGCTGGGTCCGTGAGGTTCCGCGCCCACCACTTAGAGAAAGACCCCTCAAAAGGTGCTTGACAAATGGCGGACCACAGTGACAAACGATGGATTGCTGCATTCGGGGAGGCACCATGTTCTTTCATACGAGCAAAGTTCACCAAGCGACGAAGCTGCGTAAAGCATCTCCTGTACATCAGTGATTCGATGTTTACCGCTGGCACTCTCTCACCCAACCTGGAAGACTTGATCGGGCATCGGTCGCTCACTACTGTCGACAAGTGGGTGGATTGGCCTCGACCTAACTGGCAAGGACGGGGGCCAGCTTGGCCTTTGGAGAGGCATTCTGCACGAAGGGCTTGTTCATACTGGTGGCACAATTCATGATAGACCTCGGTCGGGTCACTGGCACTCACATGAAAGGCCATGTCAGAGTGACTAAGAGACTTCTGGACCTCTGGGGGAACCGCGAATGGCTGCGGGCGTCGCCAGATCCGGACCTTTTCTGGTTGGCACAAGGGGCGAAAGCTTCCTGACAATATGGCGTGATCTGGGAAGGCCTCATTGTCGAGACGAACCGCCAGCAAGAGATCACGCAACTCAGGAGAGATGAAAACAAAATCCTTGCGTGTGGAACCCTTGCATGTGGCTGCAGGGGTGAGGTTCCACTTGATGCAAGCGAGATCTTGGAGATCTATGAAGCCTTGCCGTTTCCACAGGTCAACCTCTTGCAAATGATGCATTTCCTGATTGAAGTCTCCTGCCACAAAACGTGGTCCAGTGAGGTGGACCACCTGACGTGTAAGCTCTTGTAACAGGGCCTCTGTGCGTGCCCTGACAGGCTTCGTGGTTGCGAGGAAGGCTTCTCCGTAAACAACCCCTCCTGTGATCCACTGGCCACAGACCCAAATTTTGCTGCTGCAATGCGTGATGTGGCAAAAAGGTCGGGTTGCCATCCTGCGACAATGGATCGACAAGGGAACGACGACACAAATGCCACCCCGGTCTGCTTTCCTCCGATCGCGAATTTGGCATCAGTCTTAAAGGGCGCTGGGTGGCCCGTGAGCAACTTGCGACAAAAGTTTCAATTCTCTTCGAACCTTATGCTCACCTGCATGAGTCAGGGAACTCTCACTGATGGCGAAAATACCTGGAGGCAGATCCCTGATGTGGTCACTCTTAAACAGGAGTCCACTCGGGTTTATGGCTCCAAGGGACCATTCACCGGTAAGCGCCCCAGTGGCATCCGGACATGGACCTGGTACAAGGGCTTCACCAATACGACACGATCTCATTACAATGACCCTAACGAGGTATGACACGCTGACATGACGTGGTCTATCATAAGGTCGGACACGCTGCTCCTCCGAAACAGGGAAAAGAAAACGTACATCAGTGGCAAATGCAACCCACTTGCAATGGGCCAAGCTCGGATGATTAGGCATCGGCACGGTGCACTGAACTGGAGTCCACCGCCGACCGAGCCGGAGACAATTGAAATAGGTATCTCTGACATTATCGCCCCCATCCAGTGGCTGACTTGGTGCGGCGTGCATGACCTTAGGGCACGATGCAACCAAACTCCAAAGCGGAATGGAGGGCATGCCTTGTGGTGCACATGGGGTCGTCTCAGGTAGACGACCCAACCCTTCTGGCCGTGTCGGGGTTCTGCTCACTACAGTGCAGACCATCCTAGGAGGAAGCATTGGAGGAAGTGCAGTCGAATCTTGTGGTGAAAGAAGTTCTACAGCACCCCATGCATGAAAGGCGGATGGCATGAGACCCCCCTCTCTTGTTCCACCCAAACTCTGCAGCCCCAACCCAAGGGCAGACCCAGGCCGAAATTTGGCAACGGTGGCAGTACATGTCCAATGCAGGAAGTCGCACCTTGGTGGCGAAACAATGGAGATACCGCTGCGAGCGGTTGGAGGAAGCTGCACCAACCCTACATCAAGCGAAGCACTAGGCCGGTCGAGGCCAGAAGCATTCCCTTCATCCTCACATGACATGCCCCCAAACTTCAAAACATAGGCCGCGGTCAATGGTCTCCTGGTGGGACCTAGAACTGGATTCCCGACATCCTTGGCAATGACTCTATCCCTTATCCGATTGGATGAATCTTCGAAAATGGAACCATCTGGAGGTATGAACACAAAGTGGTGCTTGGCAGGATCACCTCGTGTGGGACTTCTGAGAACCTTGGGCCACTTGGTACAAGGCATGATCTTGGAGTGGGGAGTATGTCTGCCACATGCGGCCTCCAATCGACAGTATGGGTGGACTCTGTGCAGCCGACTTTTGTGATGGGAGGTGAAAGAGGATTCGACCTGATCAAAGTCTGCCAAACCATGCTTGCATCTCCACAGACTCACAAGGAGTTGAGCGGGCCCAACTAGTCCAAGATGCCCATCCCTAGGTCTCGGTGCCACTGCAATATCCTGGAGACATTTCCACGGAAAGGCCAAGGTGCAAAGGATTGGCCCGTCTGGAAGACCGTCCTCGCCACAACCTCGGGTGGGCGGAGCTGCAAAGGCTTTGCGAGTGCAATGCTCAACTGTGTCAGTGGAGGAACTAAGCCATGGGTAGACCTTGTGCAATCGACTGTTGTGCTGGCTAAGGAAAAAGAACACACGGTCAAACCAGGCCGCGTTGACAAGTATTTTGCCCTCAAGAACGGCAGATATATTTAATATATCTGTTTTTAAGCCTCTGTGGTGCCGAAAGTGCGGCCCAGACCGGGCTGCATCGTCAACATCTTCTGCACCCATGCTCTTGACTGCTGAGCCATGCTGCTTCTTACGGGCCAAATGAGCCCCCGGAGTCGACATCAGCCTACTTGGAGAGGCAGTCTCATCACCCAGGATGGGCGAAACGGCAAAGACCCTGCACGTGTCTGGTTCATCCAGGGTGGCAATGAGACCATGCCTATGGTGGACCTTGTGCAATCGACGCTTGTGCTGGCTGACGAGATGAGGCCGGACATGACCGAAGAGGGCCCGTGCAACCAGAAAGTGAAATTGCAAACAGTAGACCCGCACGAATGACGCAGCTTTTCCAAGATGCACAGCCCCTATTGGCATCAAAGCTACTGCGCGAGAAGGACCTAAACCATCACAATTGGAACCGATTCGAACAAAGTTGGTTTGAACAAAGGACTCACACAATGCCCATATTAGGGCGGGAAACTCAGTCGACAATGCCGAAGCTCTTGAACCACCAAGGAGCCCCCAAATTGGAACCACAAAGTCTTGCTGACAGTGCATGGAAGCTCCATTTCCCCTACTGAAAAGCACGGGCTCTACATGCCTGTCAACGGCCAACTTACGCAAGCAAGCGGCAAAGCTGAGTCGTGGGTGGACCCTGAGCTTCAAACGAATGTGCCAGCAAACGTCAAGGGGCCCAATGCTACCATGGAAGGGCAAGGCAGTGCACTCTTGACTGCCCCTAAAGGCGAACCCTGAAGTCACCATGTCCCAAAGATGAGCCCTCGGGGGCACCAACTCTACACGGAAGTCAACAATGCCGGCGCGGGAACCCTGCGGGGTCGAACGCAAAAGAAAGCTCTCAATTGTGAACAGGCACGACTTCGGAAGGTTCCTGGTGCAGGTCACTGGAGTTGGCGGACTGGAACCAAGGACCACCCTGCAACCCTTAGCAAGCTCACAAGCAAAAGTCCTGTCAGCTGCCGACCTACGCTGAAAGGCCACTTGTTGAGGCTGGCGGTAGACCTTGTGCAGTCGACTCTTGTGCTGGCTATCGAAAAGGGGCCGGACATGGCCAGATTTGGCGACCACTGCATGTCCCTGGTGCCTCAGAGAAGTGGGTGAAGGCTTCACCACAGCCGCTCTCAGATACACCTTGTTGACCATCAACATTGTCAGGATTTCCAAGTGGTTCAATCTGAAACAAAGCTGCGGCTGACATGGATGGAAATATGCCTGCGCAGCATGGTTCAAAGCTTTCCTCCACCTACACTGGATTGTCCCGCCTGACCAACTTGGAAGGAAAGTCACGTCACCTCGGCTGGGCGAAACGGCAAAGACCCTGCACGTGTCTGGTTCATCCAGGGTGGCATTGAAACAGAAACCATGACTGTGGTAGACCTTGTGCAATCGACACTTGTGCTGGCTGACGTGGAGAGGCCTGAAGCGGTCGAAGAGGGCCCATTCAATCGGTATTTTAAATCGCAAACAGCAGACCTGCTCGAACGGTGCAGCTCTCCCATGATGCATAACCCCAGTTGGCATCAAAGCCACTGCTCGAGAAAGACTTGAACGATCATGATTGGAACCCGTTTGTTCAGATTTAGTGGGGACCTCAGACCCAAATGAAGTCCATCTTGGGATGGGAAGCTCAGTCGGCGAAGCTAAACCATGATCCCAGGCCGAAAACCTACCACCCCGATCTCGCATGCTCTCAAGGCATTGGACAGGACACACGAGGCAGAGAAATGCCAAAGTCCTCAGGCTGCCAAAACCCTTGCGTGGACCAACTTTACGGCTACTGGAAACACACTTATGGCATGAGCGAGATGAACTCCCCACAGGTATGCCCTGATGCATTCCGTTCATGCAACCCCTACTAAACAAGTTTCCAAGGCTCAACTGACGACGAAAACCCTGGAGGCAAAACCAAACAGTGGTCACTACCGGCATGACCAAGCAAAGAGCGGAGATGAAATCACCGGCACAACATACGATCAAAACCCAGAGGCTCAGGCATCTGCTGATGCCCTGCCGCACCAGTCACTCTTTCGAATCTGGCGTCACAGTGGTGCAGCGGAGACGCTTGGAGAGCATGTTGTCTAGCTCTTGCAGGTGGTGCGTCAACTTGGCCTCAACTGCATTTTCGACCGATCGTGCGGTGGCTTCTACCTTAGAGGTCAGCGATGACACCTGAGTGGCGATGGCTTGCGTTTCAGCTGTTTGCCTATTTTGGGCCTGGGTCAATTGTTGGACCTGCATTTCAAGCTGCTCGACTCGGGTCGTCACATCCATGTCCATAGAAACATCATCGCTAGATTCAGAGGCTCTGACCGAGACCTTAGCTTCCAAGGTTGCTGCAAAGGCATCTAGGTGTGCCTGCGTCACATATCTCGTTTCTGCTGGCGGAGGCTTAGACGACTGAGCCCAAGGATCATGGACTTGCAATGGATCTTGGGCACCTGCAGACAATGAGTCACGTGTGCGTTTGGAGGCTACCAAAACTGGTGCAGGACTCGATGCGACGGCCTGTGGCAGATCAACTCTGGTCAGGAGGACATCTCCATGGCTTAGGGAATACACAGTGGCTGGGGGAAGTCCAGCAGCATGCAAACTCCAAAGCAGACCAGAGCCATCGGGGGCCTTGCCGGTTGTGTGCAATGCTCTTGCCTTCCAACCCCACTCATCAATGATCTTTTGGACTGATTGTTTGGAGGATCCCCATGGCAGAGGCCCCATGCACCAAGTCTGCTTGTTGGGTCCCAACATGACAGCCTGCTCTTGACGGACGGTGGCATGAACTGCTTCAGCATCACCAGCTGACACCCGAAGACCGTACCTGTGCCCCACACGAATGATGGCGGACGGCTCTTTGACGGCGGCTTGCTCAGCTTGGGCCTCTCTCAACGACTTTCGCGGAAGCCAGACCGTGTAGTGATTGACATCATCTCTCTTCCCGTCAGGCGCTCTGATCTCAATGTAGCATCCATGCGATCCCGACTGCTTCAACACCGATTCAATTGCCGAGGTCCTGAACCGAATGCAACACATGAAAACATCAGCAGAGTTTGGCGCCTCACGATGGAACTTGAGACTAATGAAATCCCTGTTCCAGACATCCATGATCATATCACTTTCCTCTCGAGAAGCTGGATGGAACTTTGGACAAACGCACGATGGCTCTCTGCATGTCATCAACTGCGGGAATAGGTCCAACAGATGCTTAACGGGCGCAGCGATGATCTTCTCCCATGGAGTCGGGCACTCATCCCTAAACATGGCAACTTTGACAACCACGTTGGAGACTTCCTGAATTCGCAGAGGCTGATCGGGAACATTGCGCTCAACGAGGATGGCACCTTTCTGCAGAAGCAGTGCGGAGACCAGCATTGGCTCCCCTGTTTGCACACAAACCACAGGAAAGCGAATGAGCTCCCCAAACTTATCCAGCAAGTACTTGCTAGGCGAGATGACTAGCAAGGCCAATCCTTGGGACGAAAGCCCTGGTTTGCCAATGTAGGGACCAAGATCCTCTTCATGCCCAACAACAACGCCTGCTGCAGTGGGAGAGATCTCATTGATTTTCAGCTGAGGAAGCTCACCTCCATTCTGCTGCCGAAAGACCCCTGGAGGAATGGCGATGTCAGCTGGATGGATCGAAGTCAGCTCAGGCGCCTGCTTGCCCTTCTTGCGCTTGTCGGATTTACGTCCAACTGGAGCAACCGAACGTGCACGCTCTCCGATAGCAGCTTGAAGCTCATCTTCCAGAACAATCTGCAGCTTCGGTTTGTGATTGTTGCAAACCTGTTTGAGGAATTTCCATGGATTTTTGCTCTTGAACATGTCATGCAGCTTAGCCTCTCCTAATTGCGAAATCAACATGTTGGCGCGCTCAATGACCTTGGCTTCTGGGACGGCATGTTCACGCAGAACCCCTGCCAACGCAATTTGCACCTCGGACCCACTGCCCAACAACCAGTCCCTATGCCGAAAATGGTCATCTCGACCAATCACTGCCAACACAAAGTTGCATCGCATCTGGATGGCTTTGGATGAATCAGCGGGATCAAATTCTGAATCAGCTGCTCGGGCAGTGAGCCACATGAACGTCTGAAAGCCACAATCAAGAGGAAATTCCTGCCCCATGGCGGAAACATGCATGAAGTGCTCGACCCGTGTTTGCTGATCAAATAAAGAAGGCCACAACGAGGCACCAGCTTGCGTGACGATGAACCTTGTTTTGCCATGGGGAGCCTGGTGAACGATCACAGGCATCCAATGTCCATTAGCCAGAATGGCCGAAACGATGCCAGACTCATCAAGAGCACCCGAAACTTCAGAGAGCCAAGCTGCCGAAATGGTCGGCATAGAGGCCAAATCCTCAATGATCGTTGGAGGAACCCAAGGCATCTTGAAGGTGGTAGACACTGTGCGGATGTAGAATTCCATCTCATCAACTGCAACTCTGGCACCATTGGCAGAAAGCCAAGTGATTCTTGAAGTCATTGCCTCAGGGATTTGATCACTCTCAGTGTACACATAGAAGCTTCCTGGATCAAGCAATGCCTCATCAGTCAGGCGACACCCCAAAATATCGAATACTTGACCCCTGCACCCTGAGATGGCGGTTTCAGCTCTCAAGAAGCTGGCAACCGAAATTGTTCCCTTGGTCTTGATTGCTTGAACACTGTTGTCACATACACGGATAATGCCGATCGACGAATCAACGAACTCCTCTGGTGCACTAGCACGAACGAAAGGCTTCAAGACTTGGGCATGCGAAACCCCATCCTGCGAAATTGGCTCTCTAGGAATTGGGATCACTGATGCTGATTGCAACTCGGACGAATCCCCTGATCGTGGCACAGGGGTAGGGGCAGGATCCTGCAACTTACGCTTGGACATCCTAAAGCCAGAAATCGCTCCAGTGGCCTGAAAATGATGATCAGGCAGCGGGAGGATGGAGTACTTCACTGTCGGAGAGATTACCTCGGCAAACAGTGTGCGGTCGGCAACCTCAGGGACGACTGGCTCGATTTGATTGTCCTTCAATGGGCAGTCTAGGAAGGGACATTCCCAAACCTCATCAATGGTAACCGGAGCCTGCGCACCATGTCCCTCACCTGAAGGTTCACCGCAGGACGGACGGGACTCTGTGTAATGGCAACCAATAGGAAAACCCAACAAGTCAGACAGCCTCTCCTCGAACATGGTCATAGAGGCGGACTTGGATCGACCAAACCACTTGTTCAGGGTCAAGACATCATTGCAAATGGCCGCAATCGCCTCCCTGGCCTCAATGGGCTTGACCACGTCGAAACTGCCTGCCCTGAATTGGCGGTGCAAACATGCAAAGACAAGGGCTGAATGAACCGGGCTTGCCAATTGTCCTACCCCCGCTAAGAGCAGACGACCTGGATGATCACCGTGACTCATTGGATAACCATTAAGCAAAGCAACCTCAATGGCAGTCACATGCCTAATCATGGGACCGTCCGGTGTTTGCTCACGAACCAAGGCACCAAAAAGACCACGCTCGGACAATCGACGATGGCTAAAAGGTGGCCTACATCCACAGGCACAAGGCCTAGTCTGGTTCCCCCACGCATGCAAGGCCGTGGGGGCAACTCGAGCAGGATCCAGGATGAGATCATCAAAGTTCTTTGCGTACTGATGGAACATACGAAGCTCATCATCCAAAAGAACATACTCATCCCAGGCCGGGCTACCGTAGATCTTCAGAAATTCAGGGAACAGATCATTGATCGTGGGTTGCTCAGGTAAAGATGGCAAAGCTTCAATTGACACCTTCCCAAACCGGGGGGCCGTCAGCACCAACCACCAACGTTTCCTCTTGGATGACCACATGGAAGACAAGTCCATGATCGTCTCGCTTTTCTCATATCGAGTGACACTGGTGAAGGCCTGTAATACTTGTTTGACAAAGGCTGATGAAGCCGCTTCGCAAACACATTCAATCACGATGGCCGGTGCCTGAGTCACCCAACTGAGCTGTGTTTTAAACGTCTTTTGTCCCGGCACCAAACAAGGCAACGCTTATGCCGCGTCTTACGTTTTGCTTACGCGCGCACAGTCTTGCTTACGCGGAATAAACCGGCTTACGCAGACCTTACGCTGGACATTTTTAGTACCCGGCCACAGCCCCAGCTTACGCGCAGCAACTTTTACCTGCAGGAACCGCAGCGTTTCAAGGCAGCATCAAGCAGTAGAAGATGATGACGTGGACGAAGAAGATGAAGCCGATGAAGACGCAGCAACAGCAGAAGCTCGCAGATGACGAAGTTGACGACGCTTCTTGGCAGCACCTCTGCTGAGCGCGCGGGCATGACAGACAGACTGGGCACCACTGATAGCGGATAGGCCAGGAAGGACAGATTGACATCTAGAGAAAGCCTTGTTCAGCAAGAGGTGTGCTTCATCCAGAGAAGGGCAATGTTGTTCCAAAATGTCCGAGACTGTCTTTGCGACAAGTCGCTGGCGCTCTGCACCAAATTGCGAACATGATTTGTGTTTGGGAGACATGGGCAACTACTGGCAAAAGCAGCTTTGGCTTACGCGCCGCTTACGCGGACCTTACGCGGAATTTGGGCTTCCAACCCGGAAACAAAGTTTGGAGGTGAAGGTCTTGAAAAAGGTATGACACTATGGGCACATTGCAATGTTGCTGTTTCCATCCGACAGTACAGTGCAGTTGTTAAAGCTCCTTGTCTTGATGGACAATCCTTTTCATTGCGGGCTTTATCATGATTTCGTTTTCCATGCAATTCAATCTTGCAGAATCATCAGAATCACATTCAACCTGCAGCATGGAGCTTGCCGCCACTTGAGGAAAAAATTATCCAGCAACCTGACAGTGATCCCATGGATGTATGTTAAGTTGTAAGCTTGGAATACAAAAGGTTCTTGGTCTAAAACTGCCATTTTTCACAAATCACAAAAAATCTCTTACGCCAACAACATTGGCTAAAATTGCTTACGCGGGCTTACGCCCACCAGTGTTTTGCTTACGCCACAGGTCCTTACAAGGATCTTCTTACTTGACATGACAACTGAGGTTTAAAACGTGGCTCAACTGAAGAACAAAGCATGGGGCAACGACAGTGCCCTCTCGTCATGACCAGCTCTCTGATCTCCAGCATGGCTGAAGGGTTGGCAGCTGAAGCCAAAGGCGACGCATGTCCCGATCCCAGCCGGCACTGAGAAGCTTCGAGACATAGTTTCAGCCAAGTGGTTCCCACGATGCCCTGCCCCTGGGAAGCTCGCGGACCTTGGGAGAGCCTTGCAGAGTGTCCCGTGTCTCTTTCCCTTTGTTTTTGAACAAACGGGGCAGCACTGCGACTTTGCCAACCAGACCCGATCTATCCGTTGGTTCCGCGTGCAATTCTTGCATTGAAATTCACGATGAACTTCAAAGTTCATATGGCATGGTGCTTTCACTTCCATCTTCATCCATTCGACCCAAAGGCGCTGGGAATCCTTCTCCACATGGGTTCTATGCACGCAATTACCCATGACTTCGACGATAAGTCCTCTTTTCGGCAGGATTTGGGTTCGTTTGGAATCTTAGTCGCCTGAAACGACTGCATCGAACCGGCACCTCTTCACCCATGACCGGCATCGAACGGAACGCAGCGAAGCGAGACGAGGCGAGAGTTGCACCACGAGACGAGACGACCTGGCCGAAAGCGAGGTTCGACCAAAGAGTTCGGTAACGACCAGGAGTTGTAGTAAACCCCATCATCAAACAAGATGGAACCCACGAACCCGAATGGAAACACGTTCGAAAAACTACATATGTCCAAATGACACTCTTGAAGGACACTCTTGTGGGACACTCTTCTGGGACACTCTTGTAAGACACTCTTGTAGGACACTCTTGTGGGTCACTCTTGTAGGACACTCTTGTGGGACACTCTTGTAGGACACTCTTGTGGGACACTCTAGTAGGACACTCTTGTGGGACACTCTTGTAGGACACTCTTGTGGGACACTCTAGTAGGACACTCTTGTAGGACACTCTTGTTGGACACTCTTGTAGGAAACTCTTGTGGGACACTCTTGTGGGACACTCTTGTAGGACACTCTTGTGGGACACTCTTGTAGGACACTCATTTGGGACACTCTTGTGGGACACTCTTGTAGGACACTCTTGTGGGACACTCTTGTGGGACACTCTTGTAGAACACTTGCGTGGGTCACTTGCAGGACACTCTTGTGGGACACTCTTACACGACACTCTTGTAGGACACTCTTGTTGGACACTCTTGTAGGAAGCTCTTGTGGGACACTCTTGTAGGACACTCTTGTAGGACACTCTTGTGGGTCACTCTTGTAGGACACTCTTAAGGGACACTCTTGTGAGACACTCTAGTGGGACACTGTTGTGGGACAGTCTTGTAGGACACTCTTGTGGGACACTCTTCTGGGACACTCTTGTAGGACACTCTTGT